CTCCCCAGGATGCACCTGCTGCTGCCCGACACCAGTTCTACACCGACATGTACTGTCCGATCTGTTTACATCAAGCCTCCCTGCCTGTCGAAACCAACTGTGGACATCTTTTTTGCGGTAAGCAAACCGTGCCGTGCGCGGTGAAAGGGACTATTTAGACCAAGCCCCATGGGAGTGCACAGGCTGGGTGCCTTATTTCCTCTCTACCACATTTGGCATTTCGTGAGTCAGGTAGCTTGCTTCTGAGATCCTGCTCTCCTTGTCAGCCACTTTAATTTAGTCTGTAGATTCAGAGATTTAAAAAAACAAACAAACAAACAAAAACTAGTGATTCAGTTTCTCGGTAAACGGAAGTGTTTTTTTGAGTAGTAATTCAAGTGTATCAGTACCACGAGGCTTCCACCGGATCCCTCACGGTCATCACTTTTCGGTGGTTTCATTTCTTACTCATCCTTCCCAAGGAAGAAAGGTTCTTCTCTCAAGGACCTTGCTCAAGACCTTGCTTGAGCTCTGCCGCCTCTTTTTCACTCTAAGTCAGTACAGAAGTTCTCACTAGCCTCTCTTTCTTCGTGACGTCAGGAGGCTTGGCGGAGGGAGCACGAGGCACCTGGAGGCTGCAGTGGGTGAGAAGGACCGCTGGTTTCACACTCAGTATCAGGAAGGGGTGTTGCCTACACCTGGCGTTCTTCCTGGCCATCCAGAAAGACTCCAGAGAGAATAAGGAGATATCACATAGTCGTTGCTGGTTATGGTCACGTGAGATTCGGGACAGTCAGTTGTCACTTGCCTCCTACACGCCGGACTCGTAGCATCCTTCATCCCCTCCAGCCCCAGCAGCATAAGCAATAATGCTGTGTACCTAGGAGTTCTGTACAGGGAAGAGTTCTACACAAATGAGGAAGTCAAGATTCAGTGATGTGAAGAAATTTTACAAAGGGCAACCCAGCTGCAGAGGGACAGAGCTCGGTTTTAAACCTGGATCGCACGGACTTCCAACCCTGTGCTCAATTCTTCTATGTGATTGGTGGCGTATACAACTACTCTCTATTTAAGTTTTATGTAATCGCTAGACCTATTTTAAAATTTTTTAAATTTATTTACTTATTGGAGGAGGGAGATTTGTTTGTTTATTTATTAAACGGAGGGACCGGGGATTGAACCCAGGACCTTGTGCGTGCTAAGTGCACTCTCTACCACTGAGCTACACTCACCCCTAGACCTATTTTTTATTGGTAGTATTTCTTTCTCTTTGAGCAGCTGTATTCAAGATAGGGTTCTGATTGCTCCCAAATTGTACTCAATTTGCATATGAAGCCTAATTTAAACTGTAGCATATAGTAATCTAGAAATTGCTTTCTCCCCATGCTATCTTTTGTCTGGGACTCACTGAATAGAACTCTTAGGTGTATTGTGTTATTGCTTACACTGTTGGGGATAAAATAAAGTATTTGGAAGCCATTCCAGGCCCTGCAGGGTTTTTATACCTCGTACTCATTAAGTAAGTGCTGACCAATCCCATTTATTGCCTCACCCATTTACTTTGGCCTCTTCCCTCCGGTTTTTGCCTAAGTAGCTAACGAATCATAAAACTCCATTTCAGCGTCTGTCCTTAATGAGCTGTTGGAAGTGTTAATGAGCAGCAGAATGATGAAAGATCAGATGGGGAGCGTTAACTGGGCAAGAGAAAGCAGACACTTCCCCCCATGAGACCTCCGGCCCCTGCTCCTAATCCACTGGGACTCTCTTTCTGAGTCTGAATATGGCTTCAGCCACCCCCTCACACAGCTCCCCAGGCCGGTGCTAGCAGTCAGCTAGGAATCACTGAGGTCTGGCAGGCTGGGCAGACTCCCTTTGCCAACCCAGGCTTCGGTGACTCACTGAGTGGATAGTGTGGTCAGTTGTAAGATGGCTGCATCGTGTTCCTGGTTTGACCTCTGGGTCTGAGGCAATAGGGTGGATTCCTTCCGAGATCCTGCTGTACTTGTTGGACACTTTAATTCACTGCCTGTAAGTTCAAAGGTTTAAAAAAAAAACTAGTTATTCAACCCCTGCACAAACAGAAATGTGTTTTGTCTGAGTGAGCAGTTCCAGTGTATCAATACGGTGTTTCCAAAAAGCCCTCCAGCTTAGTTCTGGGTGTGGAACTCCTGGTCTGTTCCTCCACCGCCCACGGAGAATGACCACAGCAACAGCTTGCACGTACTTGCATTTGTAACTCACATTTTTTTTTCTATTTCAAAGATTTTCTTTTTTAATTGAAGTCTAGTCAGTTTACAATGTTGTGTCAATTTCTGGTGTACAGTGTTCAGTCATACATGTACATGCATATAATGGTTTTCATAGTCTTTTTCATAATAGGTCACTACAAGATATTGAATAGAGTTCCCTGTGCTGTACAGTAGGTCCTTGTTGTTTATCTCTTTTATATGTAGTAGTGTGTATCTGCAAATCCCGAACTCCCAATTTATCCTCCCACCCCCTTTCTCCCCTGGTAACCAGAAGTTTGTTTTCTATGTCTGTGAGTCTGTTTCTGTTTTGTCAATAAGTTCATTTGTGTCTTTTTTTTTTTTTTTTCAGATTCCACCTATATAGTATTTTTTGTTCTCTTTCTGGCTTCACTTAGAATGACTATCTCCAGGTCTATCCACGTTGCTGCAAATTGTAACCCACGATATTTTATTTCATCCTCCAGCAGTCTTATTCCCATTTTATAGATAAAATCTAGAAAGACTATACCCCAGATTCAAGTCATTGAGTCATCTCTCCCACCATCCTGTTTATGTGGGTCTCGCATTTTAAAGAGGGAGATAGTTGAGGAAAGGGGAAAACACCAACATGTCACAACAGATGTGTATGAACTCAAGTGTCTGATTTGCTAGACCATCATTTTTCAGTGCAGGCCAGCGGCCGTTGTAGAATTTGCAGAACAAAGACAGCTATGCTCCAATTTGTGGAGAAGAGATATGGGATTAATCAGTTGACATGTCAAAATACACTGAACTTTCGAGTGGAGAGGTTGGAGATAAAGGCGTCATTACAGATGGTACCAAGACTAACAGATTTAGAAGAATTTTCCCTTTCATATAGTTTCTATATGAAATTAGATTGCTCAAATTATTTCATGAACATGATCTAATTAACACAGCACTCTGTGAGCAGGAAAAGATACCAGATACAGACCATTTAGCTTTTAAGTTCATCTTTAAATCATTGAACCAGTGCCCCATGGTCACCCATGTCCAGGTTGAGCAGCCTTTGCTCTAGCCATTGGTCTGCCCACCAGCCTCCTCACATACCATTTATTTTTGCCTCTGGTATTTGCTCTTACACTGAAGAAACCCAGAGCATCCTCCCTCCCGTGTCCTGTCGAAATCTTACCATTCCTTCAAAGTTCGGTTCAAATCCCTTCTGCTCTACAAG